TCCTCCCCCGCCTCCGCCTCCTCCTCCTCCTCCTCCTCCTCTTCCTCCTCCTCCTCCAGAGGGAGATTTCCCATCTAACTCTTAAAAACAAGCCTTGAGCATCCCCCGGGTCCTCGCTCAGCTCCGATGCCCATCTCCCGCGGGAGCAGCTCAGCGGCAGCGCCGTCTCCTCCCTCCGCAGGTCCCAACACGTTTGAAGACGCGGGAAACTACATCAAGACCCAATTCCTCGACCTCAACATGCGGAAGGACGTGAAGGAGATCTACAGCCACATGACCTGTGCCACAGACACGCAGAACGTCAAATTCGTCTTCGACGCCGTCACGGATGTCATCATCAAAGAGAACCTCAATGACTGCGGCCTCTTCTGAGCGCCCGGGTGGCAGGTACCCGAGAAACGGTTATTTAACCACAAAAAAAAAAAAAACAAAAGAAAAAGGAAAAAAAAAGAGGGGGGAAAAGGGAAAAAAGGGGAAAAAAAAGGGGGAAAATAGGGAAAAAAGGAAAAAAGTAAAAAAGGGGGGAAAATAGGGAAAAAAGAAAAAAAGGGGGAAAATAGGGAAAAAAAAGGAAAAAGAAAAAAGGGGGAAAATAGGGAAAAAAAAGGAAAAAGAAAAAAGGGGGAAAATAGGGGGGGAAAAGGAAAAAAGGGGGAAAAAGAAAAAAGGGGAAAAAGGACAAAAGGAAAAAAGAAAAAAGGGGGAAAATAGGGAAAAAAGGGGGAAATAGGGAAAAAAGGAAAAAAGAAAAAAAGGGGGAAAATAAGGAAAAAGGAAAAAAAGAAAAAAGGGGGAAATAGGGATAAAGGAAAAAAAGAAAAAAGGGGGAAATAGGGATAAAGGAAAAAAAGAAAAAAGGGGGAAATAGGGATAAAGGAAAAAAAGAAAAAAGGGGGAAATAGGGAAAAAAAGAAAAAAGGGGGAAGACAGGGCAAAAAGGAAAAAAGGGGAAAAAAGAAAAAAGGAGAAAAAAGGAAAAAAAGAAAAAAGGAGAAAAAAGGAAAAAAGGGGAAAAAGGAAAAAACGAAAAATAAAGGGGAAAAAAGAAAAAATGAAAAAAAGAAAAAAGAAAAAAGAAAA